AATAAAGTGGCATCTGATCACCCAGATTTTGTTTATTACTTAAACACTTCGTCAGTAATAGAGAGGGTAAAGGCACACATATAATAGAACACATGCAGGAAATGTACTTTCCTCTCTGTAAAGTATAGCCTAGACGGTAAAATGTTTCAAGAACAGTATTTTCTGTCATGTTGTGTCTTACTCGGGTGGCTTAACTTTTAAGCTTTTCTTTCTTGCTTTCATTTATGACATTCCTTTTCCCAGAATGCTAACCAGTCAGCTAACCAACCACTGATTAACCTTAATTTGTTGAAAATTGGTAGCATTTTGAGTTTTATTAGTGATTATAGCTATACATTGCTACTGTGTGCCAGATATTCTAAGTGTTTTCTGCTAGCCAGCAGTTACAGACTAGATGCTCATGGTTTGAACGAGGCTCACTGTTCAACTCAGTAGTGTATAAGCCCATAGTGTCTGGAATAAAATTGATTTACTTGGAGAGTACATCTAAAACTCTTGATTTCTGTTTTTTGTTGAAAAATTTAGAATACCATAGTAGTACAGCAGTAGCAACCCTCTTAACGCATTTGTATTCCCAACCTGATGTATTTTTCCTTTATTGCGTCACTGATATTAATCATTTAATCCTCTAAATTGTTATAGGTCCACTTAGAAAGTCAGGAGGTTAGGGAAGTGACTGGCTCAGGGACCTACCATTGTAAAAGTCCTGTTGGACTTGGGAGCTGCGTTCTTTCTGTGCTGCTTTGCCACCTGATAGCCTCCCTTCCTCCCTACACTGTATATGCTTTGGGAATAGAGGTTCAGATCTCAGCAATCTTATTTTTAGGGCTTGTTTTGGTGTAGTTTTGTCTGTTTCTTTGTTTTACTTCTCTGTATTCCACATGAGTGCAATCATCTGACACTTTTCTTTGTCCGTCTGACCTATTTCACTTAGCCACATCCCCTCCAATTTCATCGCTATTGCAAATGGCAAGAGTTCATCCTTTTTTTATAGATGAGCAGCAGTCCATCATGTGCACACACCGCATCTTCCTGATCTGTCATTGGGCACCTAGGTTGTCTCCATAATGTAGCTATTGTAAATAGAGCGCCATGAACATATGAGTGCATATATCCCTTCAAATCACTACTTTGGCATTCTTTGGGTAGATACCCAGGAGTGGAATTGCTGGGTCATATGTTAGATCCATCTTTAATATTTTGAGAAATAGCCATACTGTTTTCCATTCCTCCTCAACAGTGTATAAGGGTTACCCCCTATATATCCTTATCCACATCTGTTGTTTCTGGTTTGGTTTTATTTTTTTGATATGGCCATTCCCACGGCAGTGAGGTGGTATCCCTTTGGGGCCCTGATCTACATTTCCCTAGTGACAAGTGATGTTGAACATTCCCTCATGTACTGGTTGGCGAGCTGCGTGTCCTTCCTGAAGAAGTGTCTGTTCAGTCCTTCTGCCCATTTTATGATTGGGTCCCCCGCTTTCTCTGTTGAGTTCTTTAGATTCTCATATCTCTTTAACATGACTGCTCAGGTTGGGCATGAGCTATATTGCTTGTGTCACAACCTTTTGTCAGGATCTTTGTCAAATTATATGACCGTTCTATTTTCCTAGTACCTTTCTATCTTCCTGAGGTGGAATATGCCTGGTTCCTTTATTTCTTTGGCTTTAAAAAGATTTTTTTTTCCCAATCTGAGACAATGTATTAAAAGGAGCCATGGTTTTGAGAAAAACATAGTTTGAGAATGAGAATATTAGTCACGGGTTCCCAGGAGGTTGTCAGATGCTAAGAATACTTGGAAAGATTCAGCCATGTGACAGCTCTATGTGGTTAATGATGATGATTGGGGATTTGTGTTTGTTTTTCCTAAGATAAATCACTATTTCAATAGCATTGTAGAAAATTATAGCCATTACCCCTTCAAATCTGTACAATATTTTCCTTTTAAAGTAAACCAAATTACATTAAAAATCAAAAATATAAATTGTGTGTATATTTATGTATACATATGTATGTATATGCACACATGTCTGTCTAAATATATAAAACGAAGGAACGAGTTACTTGTTTATTTGAGTAGTCCAGGCAATAGGCATGAAAGGAATTATAGGTTATGGACTGGCTGTCCTCGCCCCATCTGTGTTCTCACAGGAAGCAACTCAGTAAGCAATGTTATATTTATAACCAGTGGGACAATGAGGTCTGGGTATTGGCTGGATTCCAGATAGTTCCTGGTTGTTTAATTGCTAATGGTATCAGAGTACCCAGGTCTCTGCATGAATTCTCTCTGGGTGTTGTTTCCTCCTGAGAGAGTTTTCTTTAGCCCTCATACAAAGCCAGTTTGTATGTATTAATGGCAATAAAGCAAAAGTTGATATTCGGGAGTAAATAGAAAACTGACTGTATTCAGAAAAGGGTTTATTGATAGAGCATCTACAGCTCCTGATGCTGAGAATATAGTTACATACATGTGAGGGAAAAGCTTTCAGATTTTGTTGTCTTTGAAGAACATCTCTCTCTCTCTCTCTGTGTGTGTGTGTGTGTGTGTGTGTGTGTGTGTGTGTGTGTGTGTGTGTGTGTGTAGAAGAACTGGGATGTAGGCCAGAGGTGCACGGGGTGAGAAGATTCATCAGAGACAGAGTGGGGAGCAGAACAGATGGATTTTATTGAAATACACTGCCAAGGGGAATAGTGGGCAAGACAGGGGAGGTCTGCTGTTCCATGTGTGGGTTAGCTCCCTGGCTGGGGGCATCGAACTCAGGCCATAGCTATGATGATAACGCTGGGAATTAACCCTTAGGCTGCGAGGGAGGCCCCTTGAAGAACATCCTTTGAAATGAGCAGTTGTGTGTTGAGACATCTCATTTTTCCTTACTACACAGTTCACCCAGTGATTAAAAATGATCTTGAATAAAATCTTAAAGACAGAATTCACTTATATTGATTAAATTTTAAAAAATAAGCTGTATTTTTAACATAACAGGGGTACTGGTTCACCAAAACCTTTTATGAGTTAATAGTGTGATATGGGTACCAAAAACTTTAGAATAAGAGCTGACTTGGGCCTCTCTGGTGGCACAGGGGTTAAAGACACTGCACTATCAAGCTGTCACCAGCCACTGCAACATGAGTTTGATCCTAGGCCAGGGAGCTACCCACGTGGCTCAGCAGACCTCTCCTGTCTTACCTGCTGCTCCCCTCAGCAGTGTATTTCAGTGGATCCACCTGTTCTTTTCCCCACTCTGTCTCTGGTGAATCCTCTCTCCCCCTGCACCTCTGGCTTGCACTCCAGTTCTTGTATGCATGAATAAATAAATCTTAAAAAAAAAAAAAAGAGTAAGTTAAATAAGGAAAATGAATAACTATAAGAAAGTGAAAATCAAAATCAACAAAAAACTATGAACCAGAGACACTTTTAGGGGGGCGGGGGCGGGAGGGGAGGGATTGGGGTCAGAATGGGGGGGCTGCAATTGTATGGGGAATATAACAATAAAATTTATAAAAAAAAAAAAAAAAAGAGTAAGACCTAACTGGTCAGGCCACATCCAAAGTCTTAACTTCTACATTAAAATAGTGACTTACCACTTTTCCTTTGTGGTGGGGGAAAGGTACACATTTTTCTTTCCTTTCCTAAAACCTGGATTTTAGGAAAGGTAGGCTTCATATGAGGCACGAGACCAGTGCCAGTGCAGATGGGGAAAGTCAGTATTTGCCTGAAAGAACAAGTCTTTTGGGGAAGTCTTTTTTCAAACCTATAACTAGAAGGGAAATGAAGACAATTGTTGCTCAGTTGCCCTCTGGGGCCTCAGGAATTTATTCTCATTTTGCCTTCGTTTTAGCTTCCTCAGCTGGCTCCCTCCTTTCCGTCTTGCTCCTCCTTTTCTCTCTTCCTCCCTCTTCTCTTTTCGCTTAGTCCTCTTTTCCTCCTCTCTCTTCTTTCTTGACCTGGCGGTAATGATTTGTACATTCCTTTTCATCTTTGAGATCTGAAAGAGATACAGTATATAATGAATAAGTTAGACTCATGTAGGAATTTAGACATGAGAAGGTTCTGGCTCCACAAATATTAAATCCTTAAAAAGGAATTTCCTTGCAGTTATCCAGGTATTTTTGGGCACTTGATGTTTTCTTTTTTTTTCCTTCCTCCTACTCTTACTTAGAGAGTCTCCATTCGACTGTGGGGGTGGGAGAAAAATGAAGAACTCTTTTCTTTCTAGGAAGGGCATTGACTTCTGGGGATTTGGTATTTGGGAGAAAGGGGGAATAAGAAGGAGAGATCCAGAACCAGATTGGAAAATAATACAGCTTTTTACTTAATCACAACTTCTCAAGGCTTTGGCAAATTCTGGTATAGTTTCCCAAGTACAGGAATGGTTTCGTTTTAGTGCACAGTACTAACTAATGATAAAACCCAAGCCAAACAACACTGCATTGAGAAGCCCCCTGAATATGGGTTCCTTTTTTTTTTTTTTTTTTTTTTTTATTGTGGGACCCTCACTGGCGGCTGGGGATCGAACCTGTGCTGCAGAGGCTGCAGAGGCTGCGCTCAACCACTGCGCCACCGGGGGAGGCCCTGAATATGGTTCCTAAGGTGGAAACTGTCTTTAAGGGCTAGGGGAGAAGGAGGTATAATTGTGATGCCGGCGGCATATTTAAATAGTCTGTATTTATCTGTCCATCTTTACAAGTTCCTTCAGAGCTTTCAATTTTTTTCATACTTTTTTTTTTTTTTTTTTTGGTCTCCCTGGTTATGGCTTTACTACTTCATACCGTGTGCCTATATACTTCTTTTTCCTCTCTCTGCTTCATACTTAAATGTCATACACATATAGATGTTTATTACTGACTAGCTGAATAAGGCCTTGACTCTTTTTAATATAAAAACCTGTTAAGCACTGTCTTCATGCTTGTTCGCTGCACCTCATACTTTGGCTTTATTTTTATATGTGATTTACTCATTCAGTAATTTGTATTTTTTTTTTCTTTTTCTTGTGTTTCAGAGTTCTGAGTGTGGAAACACACATGAGTCAGCTCAGTCAAGAAGGGTAGTAATTTCTCATAATATGGATAAAGCTCTGAAAGAAGGTAAGTATTAAATGAGAGTTTATAAATTTGTGTGTAAATCAATCCATTATGTTCTAAAAGGAAAATAATCTCTGGCAAGGTTATCCTCCTTTACTCTGTAATAGCATAGAATTTTTTTTCTGCATGTATTTTTGTATGATGAATAAATAAATACATGTTTTAATTGAATGGACAGGGCTTAGATATTAATTAGGAATTTCCAGTTCACAGGGACCTGGTCAGCCACATGGAGCCAGTTCTACCGATGGAACAAAGATCTATTCTTTGTTTCCTAAAATAGATTTCATGAAGTATTTTTTTCTTTTCGAAAACCTGGAGAATGTGTGTTGGGGGTAAATCAGTCAAACTCACTCATGGACAAACCATTTAACCAGATTAAGGAATAGTAGTCAACCTTACAAAAGAATGAAGGGCGTGCAGGTGAAACTTGTATCGAGAAGATTGACACAGGAGATTGTGGAGGATCCAATATTATTTTACATCTAGAAGTGGGAATGAGTAAGAGTAGTTACAAATATTAAAATATAAAAGAGCACATAAAAGTTCAAAAAATATTTTAAAAAATCAAATTTCTAGCAGCACTGACATTCTCAGTTATATGTTCAGGAAAACTGAGTTTTTCAGGTGAGTATATGGTGTTATGAGATATGAAGAAAGAACTGAATCACTTAATACGTATGAAAACACATATATTTAACTTGTCAGAGTTCACAGAAATCACAATGTTAAAATTTGAATAGTGCTAAGTACAGAGATAGTTTGAGAACATGTTTTCATAGAATTATATAACTTTGGGACCATAATTAAACTTTTAAGTAGTTCTGTTATATTTGTAATTAAAGTATGATGATGCTGATAAAACTTCATTGGGTTTAAGATTTGTCTTTTATTTATATCTCAGAATTATGGTTTTCAAATGTAATTGATTTTATTGAAGTAAATTTACATACTTTGAAATGCATGCATCTTAAGTGTGCAATTTAGTAATTTTCATAAATGCATGTAACCATGTAACCACCACCTCCTCAAATAGAGAACATTTCTGTCCTCACAAAGTTTTTCTTATGTCCCCCTCAAATCAAAACCAATCCTGTTTGTTTGCTCTAGTTTCTATTACAGTGGATTTGTTTGGCCTATTCTGAAACTTGGTAGGCATGGAATCATACAGCATGTAGTCTATTATCCCTGGCTTTTTTTCTTTTTGAGGGAACTTTAGTTTACAACATTGTATGTGATTTGAGGTACAGGATCACATTCTTCAGGTGACACTGAAAGTCCTCCACCATATAGTTCAATATGCCCCTTCTTAATTTGCTCTCCGTGCTCTCTCCCCCCTTTTGTAGCCTGAATTCTACTCAGATTTCTAGGGTTTCTTCTTTTTTTATTTTATTTTATATATTTTTTACATCATTTTTCATTTTTGCACAATGTATGTAAATCCCACCTCCCTCATTTTGACCATAATCCCTCCTACTCCACCCCTCCTGTAGTGTGTCTCTGGTTTATAGTTGCTTGCTGATTTTGATTTTTACTTTATTATAATTAATCTTTTTCCTGGTCTAGGGCTTCTTATTGCTTGGTTTTATCTGATCCTTTGTTTTGCTTCTCTGTTTTCCTCATATAAGTGACACCATCCTGTATTTGTCTTTCTCCTTCTGACTTACTTAGCTTAGCATAATTCTCTTCCGTTCCATCGATGTTGTCACGAAAGCCAAAAGTTTATTTTTTTTTATTGCTGAGTAATATTGTCACATATACCACATCTTCTGAATCTGCTCATCAGTCGTTGGGCAGTCGGTTGTTTCCACAGCTTTACTGTTGTACAGTGCTGCAGTGAACACAAGCATGCATACATCCCTGCAAATGAGTGGTTTTGCATTCTTCAGGTAGATAACTAGGAGTGGAGTTGCTGGATCATTTGACACATCTATTTGTAATATTTTGAGAAATATTCCCACCACATTCCCACCACATTCCCACTAGTTTATGAGGGTTCCTTTTTCTCCACGTCCTTGTTATTTTTGGTCTTTTTAATATGGGTCATTCTCACAAATGTGAGGTGATATCTTATTGTTTTTTTTTGATTTGCATTTCCCTGATGATCAGTGATGATGAGCATTTTTTTTCATGTGCCTTTTAGCCATCTGTATGTCTTCTCTGGAGTAGTTATACCTGGCTTCTTTTGCTCAGCATAATGTTTTTGTGATTTATCTATGTATAAGAGTTCATTCTTATTACTAATTTGACTATGCTACAATATATATTTATCCTTTCTCATTTTGGACATTGAGTTTCTAATTTTTTTTTTTTGAAACACAATAAGGTTGTTATACACAAGTTTTTCTTTTTATGGATATATGTTTTGTATGTTTCATTTCTCTTGAACAAATACCTTAGAGTAGAATTGCGTAGTCATAGAATATTGTGTGTTTAACTTTATGGGGAATTGCCTAACAATATTTCAAAGCGATTGTATGTTTTTAAATTCCCACTAACAATATGAGAGTTCCAGTTGTTTTACATTCATACCAACATTTGCTTTGTTATTCTCTTTATTATAATCATTATGGTGAGTATGAAATAGACTCTTACTGTGGCCTTAAATTGCACGTCTTCTAATGATGCTGAGCATCTTTTCATGTACTTATTTGCTGTTTCTTTATTTTCATTTGTGATGTGTCTGTGCAAGTCTTTATTTTTTAAAAATTTATAACATCTATGGGAATTTTTCAAAATGCATTATAATTTCTGTAGGATATTTAAAAAAATATATCTGGGATTCACATCCTTTGTTAGATGTTATAGTGAAAGTTTTCTTCCAGTTTGTAAATCACATTTTATTTTCTTAAAGTTGTCTTTGAGCAGAAGTTTTTAATTCTGATGAAGTCCAATTTACCAATCTATTTTTCCCCTCTTTGTTCTTTAGATGAATAATTTTTAATTCATCAATCTTCAAGTTCACTGAGCCTTTGTCATTCCTAGTCTCTGATTAACTACATCAGGTGAACTTTTCATTTAAAATAATGTATTTTTCATGTCTGCAATTTCTACTTGGTTTTTATTTTTTTTTGCAGTTCATGCTTTTCTATCAATATTTCCCAATCAGTTACTTATTATGACCATCTTTATTTTTAATTCCTTGAACATGTTCATAATAACTGCTTTAAGGTTCCTGTATGCTCATGAAAACATCCGGGCCATCCTAGAATTGGTTTTTATTGATTACTTTTCCTTACAGTCCTGGTTGTTATTGTATACTGAACATTGTGGCTCCTACTCTCTAGACATCCTTGATTTTGCTATCTTCCTCCCTACAGTGTTGACTTTTGTTCTAGTATGTGGTTTAATTTCTGCATGAGCAACTTGAAGATACTTGGTTTTATGCATTTAGGGTTGGATCTCTTTGGACTTTGACCTTAGTCTAAAGTACATTCCTTAATCCTGGAAGCAGCTGCTCAACTCTTAGTTTTCCTACTGTTGCTTTCCATAGGTCCTAGTGCAGTTTTCCCTCCACACACAAGTAGTTCAGAATTGGCAGTGGGCTTGAGAGTTTGTACCAATGTTTTGTGGTTCCATCCTTTTTGATATTTCCTGCCTTTACCTCTACCCGTGTTGGCACTTTCTAACTCTGTTTTCTGTTTTGTTTATTTGAGATGTCAGGTGTTCACTCTTGGTTCAGTCTGCCTCATTCCTCTAGGACTGTTGAGCACCTTCAGGGAAAAGTGGTGTAAACTTAAATTGTGCTAGTGCTAGTGCCTTCTTTCAAGGGTCAGTTATTTCAATTTTCTACCAGCTGTTTGCTCTACACTGCCTTTCAATAGTTCTTTAATATTTTTTTCCGGTGTTCCTAATTGATTTCTGTCAGAAGGTTAGTGTGATATGAGTTATTCCACCACCCCTGGACTGGAACTCTCCTTATTTTCAAAAAATCATCTGAACTTGTGGTAAAATGTACATAAATGGTAACCATTTCTAAGTATACAGTTTAGTAGTATTGAATACATTTTCATTGTAGATACAGTCATCTTGTAGAACTGACTGTATTTTTTAAACAATGACCCCTCCACACTTCCTTGGCCCCTGGTGACCACCATCCTACTGATACTTCCTGTCCCTTGAATTTGACTAAGTACCTCATGTAAGTGGACTCATATATTTGTCCTTTTGTGTTCATCTTATTTGTCTAGTGTCATGTTCTCAAAGTTCATCCATAATATAGCATGTTGGAATTTCCATCCTTTTAAAGACAGAATAATATCCCTTGGTGTGTATACACCACATTTTGTTTATCAATTCATCAGTGAACACTGGGTCACTTCCGCCTTTTGACAATTGTGAATAGCAGAGCTATGAACATGGGTACCTCTTTAATTTTTTTAGACTCCACAGTTTCTCTGCATTTAGACATGACATTTTTTTTTTTTTTTTTTTTTAGGATGGGCTAGCTTGTTTCAGAAATATTTATTGGAAAGAAACAATAGGATAACGGCTGAGGCCTAATTGAGAAAACAAAACAAAACAAAAAAACAACAGCATTATACTAATTTCTGACCAGTGATTTATTTTGAAAGGAAGGTGTTATCCAAAGTCTTTGGATAAGAACCTTTAGTTAATTATACTTAGGTACAGAAATTTTCTTTTTTCAAACTGTATTCTTTATGCCTACGATTTCCTGTCTTTTGTTTTAAGCAGATATTTTCCAAGGAAGTTGAACATTATATCATCTACGAAAAGGAGAGGCGTAGGCTGCTTTAAAGTTGGTTATTGGGAGCAAAATTTATGCAGTGGCAGGTGTTAAAAAAAACAAATAAATTAAAGCCAAAATAGTTTTCTGGAAAATTCAGACATTTAATGAGGAATTAAAATCTAAAAATGTATGTCGAGACGGATAAGAGGTTTCATAAGCAGTTAGAAAATCTGTAGTGATTATAATTTGCATCTCCAGAGTATTTTAATTTACATTTCTAAGCCCTGGCAATTTCAATTTCATTGAAATTCTGAATGTTATTAACTAATGATAGTAGACTTATATTGATAAAATTTAGGAACTTGCAAAATATAAGTAACAGGGATACTTGTTAAGGCTGCAATAATTTGAGTTCAGTTGTTTTGAAATCCTTATAAACAGTATATTTTAAATTTTTTCCCTGAAGTTAGTTTAAAATAGATGATATCATTGTACCATTTTATCTGTTTCACTCCTTTTAGAGTATATAATTTAAAAACAGGCTTATTCAAAGAGTTGAGTAAATTACAAAGCAAACGTGTATAATTTATGTGGATTCTTTTGTTGTTGCTAATATGTGCTTGTAGTGTACCTCAGTATAAACTAGAATTTGTCTTAATCTATATAGATTGAATTATAAGGAAGTAATCCAAAGTTCAGAACAAAATATACAGTTAAGCTGCAATAATAAAATTACTAGATCTTCAATGGTGGAAGTTAAATGGCATACTGGGGGAAGATAATCCAAGTATATTATTACTATATTCTGTTAGTCCACTTAAAATGTGCAAATTGTATGTTAGCAGTTAAATTCTATTATAAATGATCTGTATGTCTGTCTGTCTGAGAAGCTGAAACAGCCACCTGGCTATATCAGCTATCCTCAGAAATTTTTCATAAAGTTCTATTTCTTGGAAGGCTGACAGAAGATAGAAAAAAGGAATTAAAGATCTTTTTGACTTATTAAATCTCATTAAATCTGTAACCTAATTTTCACTAGACTACCCTAAATTATCTCACTAATACAGACAGAATTTAATTCAGTAACTGTTGAGCACCTGCTATTTGCTAAGTAGTGTCCTGAATGATAAATTGAAAGTTCTTGAAAATTTGTCTTAAGATTTTATTCTTTTCAGCGCATTGAGGATCCTGTCCTTAGCACTTTTTCTTAGAAGAAGTACTGTCTGCATGTCTTAGAAACACCATTATTTTCATTGTCTTTTGGTAGTGTTCTTCACAAATGGGGAAATTTCAAAGAATTATTAATTTGTAGCATGGTATTTGCTAATATAAGGCTAAAGAGCACTGTAAAAAATATAGGAAGAGCAGATAATGGGACACTATCTGTAGGCCATCTCTAGGGCTGAGTCAAAGCTTTGGCGGGGACTATGGGAGTAAATTAAGAGGGCTCCTCCACCCCAGAACAGAAATCCAGGCCTCATTGAAGTAGGTACAATCTTGGTCTACTTGATGGTGGAAAATTTGTGGCGATAATATAGGCAGAGGAGGGTGCTAGTAGAATTCTCTGAAAAGCTGCCCTTTGGGTCTTCCTGCAGTTTGCTCTGTCCAGTGCCCCGCATGCTGCTGTCTGCTGCATCTCCCAAAAACAGTCAAGAGAAGCACACACAGAACCTGGAGGAGACGTTCCTTCCTTCCTCTTCCTGTGTCCCTCCAGCATCCTCTGCTCATACAACTTAACATTATACCAATTGGCAAAGAAGTGTTTACAGGACCCCAATCTAGTATCCTAAAGCAGGTCATGAAAGGGTGAATTGGGAGCTGAGAAACAAGATTGAGAACTAGCCTAATCTACAAGTGTGTTGCCCATGTGTAAGATGTATTTTTTAATAAATTTGGATGGTTGAGAAACGAGAGGATAGTTAAAAAGTGGACTGTCTCAAGAAAAATCTAATAAGTGTGATCACTATATGTCTTATATATATTCTTTTTTTTAAAGATTTGTTTATGCATACAATAACTGGGGTGTAAGCCAGAGGTGCGGGAGGTGAGAGGATTCACCAGAGACAGAGTGGGGAGCAGAACAGGCAGATTGACTGAAAACACTGCAGAGGGGAGCAGCGGGCGAGTCAGGAGAGATCTGCTGTGCCATGTGGGTATCTCCCCGGCTGACCAGGGATCGAACTCACGCTGCAGAGGTTGCTATAGCCTCACAGTGCTGCGCTCAACCCCTTGTGCCACTATGGAGGCCCTTACATGTATTCTTGCTCACGAGATGTCTTTGCTAGGAAATAATTTTTTTTTTTTTTTTAAAGTTATTTATTTATTTATTTGTTTGTTTGTTTGTTTGTTTATACATGCACTGGGTACAGTCAGAAGCGCGGGAGGGTGAGAGAATTCACCAGAGCCAGAGCGGGGAGCAGAGCAGGCAGAAGGACCAAAGTACACCGCTGAGGGGAGCAGCGGGCGGCAGGAGAGGTCTGCGCGCCATGTGGGACCCTCCTCCGGTGGCCGGGGAGCAGCCGGGGATCGAACCGGCGCTGCAGAGGCCGCGGGCAGCTTCGCAACCCAGCGCTCAACCGCTGCGCCACCGGGGAGGCCCTAGGAAATAATTTTTTAATTTGAAACATTGTAGGAAAAATTCTTGTTTCCTAGCTCATTTTTCATTTTTATTTATATTTTAATATATTTATATTAGTAAGTGGCCATTTCCCAGTATTAATACTCTCTTGGTGTTTGCTTCTTTCACTGAATTTTGCTCATTGTTTTGCTTATTCCTGATAGTGTTTGACTACAGTTTTAGAGATTACATTCTGTCCTGGTATGGAAATCTCAGCAGAGACGATGGTCAGCTTTATCAACTGCTCTCAGAAGACTTTTGGGAAGTTGCCAGACAGTTGCGCCACAGACTGAGCCACGTGGACATAGTGAAAGTCGTTTGCAATGACATTGTACGAGCTTTACTCACCCACTTCTGTGACCTGAAAGCGGCGAATGCCAGGTAACCATTACAGTGTGAGCAACCTTTTCCCTTTTTTATTATCTTTTTTTCTTACTGAGTAAGGGGTTAAAGTGAAGACGAAACTCTAGAATATTCTGCTTCCTGCTGGAACTTGGTGTGAATTGTAGACATAGTGAAAGAGAATAATTATAGTGTGAATAGAGTAGGGTTTTTTTTTTTATAATTTCCAGTGAAAACTTGACTATAAACTTGTGAACTTATAAATCTTACAGACTTGATCAAATTTTTATTTTTTTATTTTTTTATTTTTTTTTTAATTTTTTTAATTTATTTTTTTTTAATAGAGGCATGTTTTATTTATTTGTTTGTTTGTTTGTTTTGTTTATACATGCACTGGGTACAGTCAGAAGCGCGGGAGGGTGAGAGAATTCACCAGAGCCAGAGCGGGGAGCAGAGCAGGCAGAAGGACCGAAGTACACTGCTGAGGGGAGCAGTGGGCGGCAGGAGAGGTCTGCGCGCCATGTGGGACCCTCCTCCGGTGGCTGGGGAGCAGCCGGGGATCAAACCGGCGCTGCAGAGGCCGCGGGCAGCTTCGCAACCCAGCGCTCAACCACTGCGCCACCGGGGAGGCCCTTGATCAAATTTTTAGATCAACAGTGAAATGAATTTTACTGAGCCAGCACTGTCATGAATGTATATAGAAAATTTAGATAGTTTTATGCTGTGAATATTGAGTGTACTGTTTTTAGGGAAGTCATGTTTCATTTTGAGTTCCTGTGTTGAGATCTGTTGCATCACACTATCCTGGAAATTGATCTTTAAAAGGAAATTGATAGGAAGCTTCAGTGCTAATTAGAGAAGATGTTTCAGTGTGAAAATGGCTAATAATTAGACTTGCTGACCCTTACTACTGGTACATGGAAAAGGTTTGTCTCTGCCCGTGGGAGAATTCAACAGGGCCATTTCTATGCTTGTAAGTTCTTACTTTCTTAGGTTTGCCGATAGGATTTTAAATATTTGTCTTAGTCTCGAGTGAGTAAGAGAATGATGAATTATGGCACTTCCACGGGAAGTAGTCTTACGGTAATGAGTAACCCTTCTGCCTGTGTGGATGCCGACTCAGTTGGAGCCAGAGTGGGACTGCTGTTATTTCATGTGGCCTTTTCTCTGCTATCATTATACCTTTAATTTCAGGGATGAGATAGAATATTTGAAAAAAAATATATAAGATCATGGATGCTAGAATTGGCATCCTAGTTAGGTGATAACTCCCTTTCTCTCCTAAGAAGCTCTGTTGTGAGAATTGAGCAGAAAGGAGTCCCTGTCCTGCCCTGTAAGGCTGCTCAGTGGGTCCTGGTTGGGAAACGCTCCTTCAGGAGCCTTGAGCCACTCAGCTCCACTACCCCTTCTGACGAGTTCCCTTCTGTCTACCCAGCTCATGCTCGGGAGAGCAGGACCCACAGAGCCTTCACATGCCTTTTGGTTACCAACTTGCTGCCTAGTGTTTCACTGCCTTTAAAAACTGTGGCAGATAATTGGAAACATATTAAGTAGCGTGACCCAGTTTCACACAACAATCCTTTTACTACCTGTGATAACTAATTTTTTTCATTCTTTAGTGTTAAAAAAATGCATTTTGTGCTAGCTAGATTTTATTTCACTGGTTATGGGTTACAGCCCGTAGTTTGAAAAATGTTATTGTAGACCAGTAGCTCTCAGATTTTGTGGTCTGGGATCCTTCTATACCCTTAAAAGTTATTGAGAACCCAAAAGAGCTTTCGTTTATATTTTGTGGTGTGCTTTTGCTGATTGTTCATGTCTTATCCTGGCTCTTGAGTTTAGTGGTAACACAGAGGTAGCTCATACTTGGCCATGGTGGGAGTATTTACATTGCAAAATAGGCAGAGGCTACAAATCAGAGCCTTTTCCCCTTACCCAGTGGTTAAACATTTACCAGCTAACCACTCATTAGATCTATCAATATTTATCATATTGGATATTAAAACTAGGAAATTTTAAAGTGCAAGAATACTCAGGACTTTCTATTAGCCATCAGAGAGATTATATCATCATACATCAAGTAGCCTCTAAAAAACATCATGTTTTTGAAAAAAGTGAAAAAGATAGATGACATTTTTGTTTTACTGTGAATCATTTTGAATGACAGACCCCCATCCTTTAAAAACCGCTGTTTATGGTGAAAGTGAGTTCTGGTAAGGGGGTTTGCAAGCTAATAAGGAAAGTGAGAGAAAGAGGACTCTTGGGATACCTCCCTCGAGTCTTAAAAGTTTCAGCCTTTAACCCACCAGAGCATCTGCTGATTTGCTGTGGTGTCTGTTATAGAAATTGCTCCACAGTGCTGCCTGGCAGACACTGCCAGAGACTTGTTTGAATTCAGTGGGATCTCATTATAAAGTATTTAAATTATGGTCCAATAGAGGACAGTATTTTAAATCAGTGCTTTATTCCAGTTCGAAGACTGATCAATTTCGGTTTGAGAGAAAAGCAAGTGGTTAGAGAAATTTAGTGTTTATATGATTATCTACTTTCAAATGAGAACATATTTTTCATTGAGACATATGCCAGCTTCTGAAATTTCTGCTTTTGTAGATAATATAAAGATGTTATGGGTAAAGCATCAGAATAAATAGAAACAGAGAACTGATTCCATTTTAGAAGCTCTTTCTGGTTTTCTCATACCAAAGATAGATGTATCTTGCTAATATCTAGGCTGTGTCTAAAAGTGCTAGTTGATGATGATTCTTATTTAGGAAAAAAATCTGCTCTTCTTTGGAATTATGGTTATTTGAAACAGTGCCAGTAGGTCACTGGCATTTTACATGTAGATGATTGTGCTCTGGATGTGAACCCTTGAAGAACTAATATCTCATTATGCATCAACTTCTGCAAATCACACAGTGAAACTGGTAGATAATGGTGTATTTTTGATGGCTGCATCTCTACTTGCCTGCTCCACGTAAACAAATCTAGAAATCTTCATCATTATAGATTTCTATATATCCTCTGGGTACAAAATGACTTTGGCAGCTTGGGAAAGCACCCAATTGAATTGGCTACTTTCAGACAAGAGAATAATAAATTGCATTAATAAAAGCAACACATACTCTGGTTGACTGGTAGACAATTGTGTGCAAGGAAGCCTTCCGGTCAGACTGTATTTATTTCCAGGCCGTCATTCTGTTGCTGCTTTAAGCCAGTCCAAATTGCACTTATTCTTGCCTCTGCTTCCTCTGCCTTTGTCCTGTCTTATGACGGCATGTTTCAGGAATATCTAAAAATGATTATTTTTATGCTATTATATCAATAGCATCTTTAATTTTGTAGCAATCTTCTTACAACCTCTGCGTTTTGTTTACCAGTCAGGCATCAGTGTGCTGTTTAAGGAGGAAAAATAATGTTTTTATTTTACATGTTTTCTTTTTTTATTTGTGAAATTTCTGGTTATAATGCAGTGCAAAGAGTGGATTTGAGAGTCAGAAGAGGACTTGAGAACTATGTCTATTTTCTCAGTGACTAAGGAGTTTCCATCGTACATATCCTTAATTTTGTCACCTATAGAATTGTGGTGATGGTATCTACTACATGGTCTAGATGTGAATAGTAACATTGCATGTGTGAAATCTACAAAAGAAGAATGTCCTTTTGTTAACTCCTGGGAGACACTAGTAATAAAGTTACCAACATGCTTTTATTTGTTTCATTTCCTGTATAGTAGCTGCTATGCTTCCTCTTCCTCTGTTGAGAGATGTTCCTGCCCACTCCCAGTATTCACTACTAGTAGTGTAAGAACCCCATAAACTTGCCTCTGAACTGGAAGATATTAGGAAAATTACCTTCCCAGTCTTTCCAGAATTGCTATTAAAATAATGTGGGAAAAGGATAGAAAGTTCTACTTTCTACTCCTCTTTACTCAGATTCCCCAAATTAATGATCCTGGCATGGGAATGGGTTCAGTGCTGATAATCTATGACGAAGGTTGGTGACATTGTTTGGAAAATACAAGAGCCTCATATCAATAGAAGGCAGTTGGTTATTAAATCTTGTAGCGTGAAGTCATAGACCCTCTCTTCAGTAAGATTACCCATGGATTATTTTTTTAATCCCCTGATCACCCAGTTAGGAATGTTGACTCAAACTCCAATGTGTGATACTAATTTATGCTTTGTTAATTTTCTTGAAAATGGAAATGTAGGGCCTCCCTGGTGGCACAGTCACGGCACTATCAAGCTATCTCCATCCACTGTGACATGAGTTTGATCCCTGCAGGGAGCTAAACTACATGGCGCAGCTGACCTCTCCTTTCCTGTCTTGCCCGTTGCTCTCATCAGCAGTGTATGTCAGTAGATCTGCCTGTTCTGCTCCCCACTCTGTCGGGTGAATTCTCTCACCCCCCGCCCCCCGCACCTCTGGCCTGGACCCCAGTTCTTGTATGCATAAATAAATAAAAATAAATCTTTAAAATAATTTGAAAAAGAAAATGAAACTGTACATCACATTTAAGACATAGTCTAGGAGAATTAAAATAGTCCAGTTAGAAATATATTTACACTGTTATGAATTATTGTAAGATTTGGGAGTTATGTATAACTATTGATAATTCCTTTTATTTATTTATTTATTTTTTAAAAAAGATTTATTTATTTATTTGTTTGTTTTATTTATTTATTTATACAAGCACTGGGTACAGTCAGAAGCACGGGAGGGTGAGAGAATTCACCAGAGCCAGAGCGGGGAGCAGAGAAAGCAGAAGGACTGAAGTACACTGCTGAGGGGATCAGCGGGCAGCAGGAGAGGTCTGCACGCCATGTGGGACCCTCCTCCAGTGGCCGGGGAGCAGCCGGGGATCAAACTGGCAGTGCAGAGGCTGCGGGCAGCTTCGCAACTCAGCGCTCAACCGCTGCGCCACCGGGGAGGCCCTGATAATTCCTTTTAAAGCAGTTACCAAGATTTGGTTTAAAATTCTGAAAGGTTTTGCATATGATTTTTTTCTAGATCGTTCTATGGTTGAGAATTATTGACTACTATACTGAATAGACACAGTTATTAAACCAATGTACTGCCCATTTGAAATATTTTTTATCCAGTGCTACAAGATTGAATTGTTTCCAAAAATTTCTTTCCTTCTTTTTTCCCCCTCTCTTGATTTTTAGACATGAAGAACAGCCCAGACCTTTTGTGTTGCATACATGTTTGCAGAAGTCAGGTGATGAAGTACGATTCCTACAAATGTGTTCTCGGGTTCTGGTGTTTTGTCTCCTCCCCTCAAAGGATGTCCAGTCTCTCAGCTTACGTATAATGCTTGCAGAAATTCTCACAAGAAAAGGTAGACTTGTATAAATAATTGATATTATTAATGTTGTAATTGGTAAACTGATATGCTACACACTAATGTGACAGCCCTTTGTATGACACTTATGCAGACCTGTATACTTGTGACCACATGGGAATAAAGGTATTTTCAAAGTTTCAAGTTTAGATGCTGTCAAAGAGGCTATTTACACATGATAGACAGATTTTTTTTTGTGTAACTTATTGCTGAGTGTGTAGTCCATTCTCTTATTATTGTGACACAGGATAACATCCTCCACAGAGAAGCAGCCACTTGGGGTAGCTTTTGAGTTATCCATGCCAATAACATATTAATTAATGAAGTAATATCTATACTCAAACTCCAGTGTGCACTAACTTAAAATACCTTTGCCTCTGTATTCATTGGAAGAACTTGGAATAAATGAAAAAAGGAACTATACCACTGTAAAGACAGGACTGGACACAGTGCAGGTTTTCTGATCCCATGCAGACTGGGTAAAGGAGGAGTCAGAGTCCTCAGTAGTTTTGCAGGTTTTTTATTTGGGGTTCACCAGGCATATGGCAGGCAGGGGTGCTGGCTGGGGGGCTGGGAGGCTGGGAGGCTGGGAGGCCTCCCAGCCCCCAGCAAGTCTTTACTCTATCTGGGCTCTCTGGAGTTCGTTCTGCTGCTTCTCGGCTTCTCTTTTGGCTTCGGCTTCTACTGCTACTGCTGCTGCTGCTGCTGCTGGCGTCCCCATGACGCTGCCCTTAAAAGCACAGTCTTAGCTCAGCTGAATCCCATCTACCTCTGCCCACACCCTATTCCAGGTGCCCGCCATCAGGCATGCATTCAGGACAAGGATCCATCATCTATCCTGATGGCGGGAGGGCAGAAAAGCCTGACATCTTCTTTACCCTACAACCACATAATGTGATTACTAGAAAAAAGTATATCCGTGAAATTGCTTAACAAGGATAGGAAGAATGGAGGTAAATATGACCCCTGGAGAAACCTTTGTGGTCTCAAAATCTCAAGGAAGTAACATTGAAGTTTATATGCCTTGCTCAATGTCTCATTCACTGTATCAGAATTAGCCAGCTGCCTCTGTTTACTGATGCAGCCAACCACAGAGAAAAGGGGAACTTTTAAATCAAAAGTTGGTAGGATAGATTTGTAATCATATAATTGACCTTTTAATAACTTCCTCCCTGAGGTCTACTTTCATCAGTTGGGATAATGTGACTTCAATCTTTCGGCAGAAAAAACATTTTGAGCATTATAAAAGAAAAAAGTAGTGTACTTCATTTTGATAGCTTGTTAGCAATTTGAGTTCTCCGTTATGTTCTTTCATTATTTCCTTATATTTAACTCGTCTTTTAAAATTGAGGTAACATTGATTTTCACTGTTGTTTTTACTCACTTATTGAAGCCACTTGAACGTAGCTAGCCATCATTGGCAGCATATTCAGAGGGATGCACAGCTGTGTGTATGTGCATGTGCACACATATGTACACACACATTTCTAAATATGGTACCAGAAGTACCCATTTGGGTACTTTCAACATATTTCCCAAATGCAGTTTCAATTATATTAAAGTTTCTTGAAACGAGAATACCTTTCTCAGTGGTGCTTTCTTCTCCTTCCCACAGTTTTAAAGCCAATAGTGGAGTTACTTAGTAACCCAGACTACATTAACCAGATGCTGCTTGCTCAGCTGGAGCGCAGAGAACAGATGAATGAGCATCACAAGAGAGCCTACACCTATGCTCCCTCTTATGAAGAATTCATCAAGCTTATTAACAGTAACTCTGACGTTGAGTTCTTGAAGCAACTAAGGTATTTGGTCTTCAATTATAGCTTGACAGTAGTTGTTAATTACCATACTCTGCCTTGTTTAAAAACATGTGATTGTCAGGGAAGAAAATTCATAAATTTTACTATGCAAGACAACTAAATTTATCCAGCTACACCTTTAGCAGAATTAGCTTTTATTTTAAAGTATTGAGTTTTTCATGTAATTAAGTTTTAATGGATTGAACAATATTCACTTGTTAAGAATATCTGCTTAGCTGCTCAGGTGCCTGTCTTAGAAAATCTTTGTCAGGAGATAATGTGTTTTATTAATGACAGTGGTAATAGTTTATAATTAATACAAGAACATTGTTTTGGTTTAATTTTTCTTAGAAAATTCAGGGGCCTAAGTTAGGGAATAAGGGGTTTCTTGAATAATTGTTTTGAGAAAACACATTTGAAAAATGCCCCAGGAGTCTTTTGTAGGGGTGTTCAATCCTCCTTATCATTCACGAGTTATGATTATATTGGTTTGTGAAATTTGTAGGCTTCTGTTTCTCCAGTGACCCTTCTGTTTTAGGGTCCCAGTAGTAGTAGTACGTGGGGGAAAAAAGGAAACTCTGGTTTCAGCTTTGTTTCTGGTTAGTAATTTTCTTAAGTCCCTCATGGAGAAGTAAAATATTAGCTGAAATTAGGTCTTTGAACTGTTTGAGTTTAGACTTACAACATTTGCCTCTGAACTAAGGTCAATATTAAAATGACTTATGCTTCTTAATTTTCTAATCTGATTAATACACCATCTAAGAGATGTGGTAGATGACACTGTGTTCTTTTAAACTTTGTTATATGTTAATCTGGGTCGTGCAGATGTATAATGATGGATTCATTTGCATCACTTTGCTTAAACGTAATTTAATTTTTATGGAATATAATCTCTGGAGATTTTCTCTTTCTCTTTCCATGTGTAATCTTAAATAAGTTACATGATATTTATTACAGATTTATGATTATGTCTGTCTGCAACTTTGTTTTTGTGACAGTTCAGCTGATTAAAAAATCCAAAAGCCAATAGTACCGATTTATTATATGCAGTTTATAAGTTATGTCCTCTTAGAGATCATTCTTGCTATGACGTTGACTCCTTGATTCCATAGAAAGTGAAAATGCTTATAATCACAGGACACCCTTGTTGTCTTTTATTTCCCTTTGTGTTCTTAGCACACACATGTGTGCACATGCCTTCTGGAGATGCAATTTTAACCAGTACTCCAATATTTCTCTACCTGGTGCTTTTTTTTTAATTTTTTTTTTAAAGATTTATTTATTTATTCAAGCACTGGGGTGTAGACCAGAGTGTGGGGGTAAGAGAATTCACCAGGGATAGAGCAGGGAGCAGAACAGGCAGAAAGACTGAAGTACATGCTGAGGGGAGCAGCGGGCACGACTGGAGAGGTCTGCTGTGCCATGTGGGAATCTCCCTGGCCGGCACTGCAGAGGAATCAACACGGTGCTGCAGAGGCTGTGGACAGCATCACAGCACTGTGCTCAACCCACTGTGCCACCTGGGAGGCCCCTCTACCTAGTGCTTTTATACCTATTGTTCCCAGATGTGTGTTGCGTGATGGTACCAAGGTAATGATGCCTACCTTCTATAGAATTACAATTCTCCTCAGAAATGGTTTATGAGAAGATGATACTACATGTTAATAAATTGTGGATGCGTTGAATTTCTCAGTATTTTTCCCCTGCTAAGTAGTCTTTCCATAATAAAGTTAGACATGGGTATCGTTTGGTATTTCCAAGGTACCTTAAGATAATAATGTAGGGTAAATAATGGGAGATACCTGAGTTATTCCATTATTCATTCTTCCAGACTTATGGATCAGTGTTCTATTTTGTGTACCAAATTAAAGATTCCAGCACTGCACACATGATGACATAACAGAATGGTGCCAAAGACTTTTTTTGGTCAAAACTAATTATTTTGAATGATCAACTGTACTCAAGGATCATCTGTCATTTATATCTGAGCGCAGTTCCTCTAAGATGAATGCATCTTGATAAGAATCATTAATGGTTTGTCGTCTTCAAGGTATATTAGCCCAAGTTATATTAGCCAAAGTTTTAGGACTATTTTTTATATTTAAAGATTTATTTATTTTTATACAAGAACCGGGGTACAGGCCAGATGTGCGGGAGGGTGAGAGGATTCGCCAGAGACAGAGCGGAGAACAGAACAGGCAGACTGACGAAATACACTGCTGAGGGGAGCAGCGGGTGAGTCAGGAGAGGTCTGCCATGCCATGTGGGTATCTCCAGCTGGTTGAGATTGAACCTGCCCTGCAGAGGCTGCAGACAGCTTTAGAGCGTTGTGCTCAACTGCCTGCGCCACCAGGGAGGCCCTAGGACTATTTTAAATGTTATAAATATCTTAAATAGCAGGTAAAGAAGTAACTCAGCAAGAATTGCCTTTTCAAAATCAAAATCATGGTCTTTCCTGCCTGCTGATGATTGGGTAACCTGGTTTCGTCACAGTAGGAGCAGTGTGGATTGCCTAACCGGAATGGCCATAGATTACCCTAGAAGTTCTGGTTTTAGATTTTTCCCCTTTCCCTCCAGTATCAGAGGTAATAGAAACAGTGTGAACACTTAAATCTCTCTGTAAAATCACTTCCTCTTGATGTCATAAATAGGGCAGCATTGAAAGGTAGCTCACCGGGTGTCCTAGGAAGTAGGTCCTCTGTGGCGCACTAAGATCTCAAGGGGCAATGGAAATACTGAACTAAAGAACAGTGTTTTCCTACATAACATACACCTCAAAAACATCTTTAAAGACACATCACCCAAAGCAGTGATAGTGAAGGCAAAGATAAACAGCTGGGACTACATCAAATGAAAGAGCTTCTGTACAGCAAAAGAGACAGTAACCAAAACAAAGAGAAACTCCACTGATTGGGAGAAAATTTTTGCACACAACACTAATGATAAAGGGCTGATCACAAAAATCTACAAAGAGCTGATGAGACACAACAAATACACAGTAAATAATCCAGTAAAAAAATGGGCAGAAGAGCTAAAAAGAAACTTCTCCAAAGAGGAAATACAAATGGCCAACAGGCATATGAAAAAAATGTTCAACATCACTTGTAATCAGGGAAATGCAAATCAAAACTATGAGATACCATCTCATCTGTGAGAATGGCACATATTAAAAAAAAACTAGCTATAACAAATATTGGTGAGGATGTGGAGAAAAAGGAACTCTCCTGCACTGCTGGTGGGAGTGCAAACTGGTCCAACCACTGTGGAAAGCTGTGTGGAGGTTCCTCAATCTGCTAAAGATGGAGCTTCCATATGATCCAGCAATCCCACTCCTGGATATTTACCCAAAGGACACAGAAACATTAATTCAAAAGGGCACCTGCACCCCTATGTTTATAGCAGCACTATTTATAATAGCTAAGCTATGGAAACAACCCAAATGCCCCAAAATAGATGACTGGATCAAGAAGATGTAGTACATATACACAATGGAGTATTAATCAACAATCAAAAAAGATAAACTCATGCCATTTGCAGCAACATGGATGGAGCTGGAAGGGATTATGCTTGGTGAAACAAGCTAGAAAGAAAAAGAAAAATACTGGATGGCCTCACTCATAGCAGGAATTTAGAAAACCTACAGGAAAAAGACTAATTATAATAAAGAAAAACTCAAAATCAACAAGCAACTATAAACCAAAGACACAATGCGGGGTGGTGGGGGAACAAGGTAGAGTACGATGAAAACAAGGGGGGTGGGAATTGTATGGGGACTATAACCATGACGAAAATGCATGCATTGTGCAAAAATGAAAAATGATGTAAAAATATATAAAATAAATAAATAAAAATAAAAAATAAGGAACCATGTTTTCAAAATTGAGGTATAACATACCATAAAATTTACCATTTTTAAGTGGTTTTCAGTCTAAGTGTATTCAAAAGACTGTGCAACCATTGCCACTAATTACAGAATATTTTTATCATTCTCTAAAGAAACCCTGTTCCCATTAACAGTCATTTCCTTTCCCTCCCCTTCCCCTAGCCTTTGGCAACTACTACTCTGCCTTCTGTCTCTGGATTTTTGCCTATTCTGAATATTTCATAATCTTGGAATCATGCTCATTGTGACTTTTTGTGTTTGTCTTTCACTCATAATGTTTTAAAGGTTCATTTATGTTGTAGCATATAATTAATACTTTATTCTTTTTTTTGACAATAATATTCCATCACCTGAACATTGCAGCATTTTGTGTATCCATTCATCAGTTGATGGACAGTTGGATTGTCTGCCTTTAAAGAATGCCTTTTGAGTGATTATTGAGCATCTTCAGTAGCTTTCTCAGTGACTGCTGATGAGAGTGAAAAGAGGTGCTGCAGATTCCTAGCCGCCTTCCTAATGTCATCTCATGCCACCCACACAGAGTAGTGAAGTGCAGGCACAGGAGGGGGTGCTCCTGTTGTGCATTATCCCTTTATCCTCTGCTGTATTTTGTGCCCTACACCTGTCAGAAGGCTATTCTGATGAGTTATTCCACCACCCCTGGACTGGAACTCTCCTTATATTAAAAAAAATCATCTTAGGGCCTCCCCGGGTGGCACAGCGGTTGAGCGCTGGGCTGTGAGGCTGCGTGCAGCCTCAGCAGCGCCGGTTCAATCCTCGGCCGCCAGGCGAGGGTCCCACATGGCGTGCAGACCTCTCCTGCCACCCGCTGCTCCCCTCAGCAGTGTACTTCATCACTCTGCCTGTTCTGCTCTCCGCTCTGGCTCTGGTGTATTCTCTCACCCTCCCGTGCTTCTGACTGTACCCAGTGTTTGTATGAATAAATAAATAAATCTTTAAAAAAAATCATCTTAACTTGTGGTAAAATGTACATAAGTGATAGCCATTTCTGAGTATACAGTTTAGTAGTATTGAATACATTTTCATTGTAGATACATTCATCTTGTAGAACTGACTGTATTTTTTAAACAATGACCACTCCATACTTTCTTGGCCCCTG